CTCCCGGACTGCGAGATCGTGACCTGGCTGAAGTCGGACGCTTAACCGACTGCGCCACCCAGGCGCCCCTAGATACATTTTTTTAAAGATTTTATTATTAAGTGATCTGCACCCAACATGGGGCTTGAATTTACAACCCTAAGATCAAGAGTTACACGCTTCATGGACTGAGCCAGCTGGATACATTTTTTAAATCACATGCAGAAGATAATATGTTAATTTAGAATGATTGCTTTTGTCCACACGCTCGCATTTCATAAAGTTGTTTTATTCAGATTCTCTCTGAGCATTTTGGAGATAGTGTCTTTATCACTGTTAAAGATACTTCTAAAAAAAAAAAAAAAAGATACTTCTGAGTCACCTAACCTAATTTTCCAGAAAATACCGTCTTCAAGCTAAATTACTTGAGGTTAAACATACCTTTTTTTTTTCCTGCCTATGAAGCTGTCACTGAAATTTAATCCCAAGGCACAAGAACTCATTTGCATAACTTATTTACCTCCGTATGTTAATACCCACTTTACCAACTACTGTCAGAAGCCCTTCCCCTACATTAGCTCATTTAATCCTCACTATGCAAGTACTTTGCATCCCATTTTCCAGATAAGAAAAATTGAGGTACAGAATGGTTACGTGACTTGCCCAGATTCACTCAGTTAGTTAAGGTTAATCACTGCAAATGTTATGTTCGTTCATTGTGTAATTTGTCCCCACAAGGTCACCACATATTATGAGCTCATCACCCACCCCCACCAGGAGTAATTACCAAACCTGTCTTTCTTTCCTTCCCTTTTCCTTAATTCCGGCCAAAGACCTCTAACACGCCCCATGGAGAAGTGCTAATGGCCTCATCCAACGCAGGGGTGCTCCCTTTCAGCCAGACTGCTGGGCTCAGGCTGTACAGACCCAGCCCCATTGATCCTCCTCACGAGAGGGATCTGTTCTTATCTCCCATTTCCAGATGAGGAAACTGAGGCACAGTTAGAAGTACATAGCCAGGTTACCCAGCTAGAAGTAGCAGAGCCAGGATTCATCCCTGGCAAGGTAACTAACCATCAGAGTGTCTTGTCATATAAACCACCCAAGGAGGACTCCTGTCCAGGGCAGCGACTCCTATTTCCTGAGGACTAATTTCTTGGACAGAGCAGTGTCCTCTGTATTTGGCCACGTGCTCTAGTTGACCAAACGATAGAGTAAGCTAGTGAAGGACGGAGGATCTGTGCTGTGTGTCTCGTTGCTCGGCCCTTCTGCTGCAGGCCCTGCTCAACACTGGGGGAGGGACAGGCCAACAGTTCTGCCTCAGGAGATGGCCAGACACC